CACCAGTCGAGTGACCAGCATTCTGAAGGAATGTGATATATACATGAACATACACATTTTAAGATTTCAAGTCAACTTAAGATTACTTCCACAAACAAACAAACATTCAGTGAAACATGAAATTTATCGATTCTTATTTTTGTTTTGCAACTACATACATACACACACACACACCAGTCACCATAATGTGCTGCCATTCCTATCAGATGTTGTGGTGACTGGTGCTGCCATTCCTGTCAGATGTTCATTGTGGTGACTGGCATTGTGGTGAACTGGTGCTGTCATTCCTATCAGATGTTCATTGTGGTGACTGGTGCTGCCATTCCTATCAGATGTTCATTTGCTGCCATTCCTATCAGATGTTTGGTAGACCTTGTTGCTGGCACCAATCATTGTTACCTGTGGTAGACCTTGTTGCTGGCACCAATCATTGTGTGTCATGAACCATCAAACCACACCAATAGTGCTCCACATGGCTCTCCTTAGAACAATGAAGCCATGTTCTTTTCCATTGTCAATGTCTAGTTTTGACAAGTTTGTAACAACCAAAACCTGTTGTTTTCAAAGTTCTGATCAATGTATGATAAATTAGTTAAGACAAAGCAGATGAGGCTTCCCTTGACTGGCACCAATCATTGTTGCTGGCACCAATCATTGTTACCTGTGGTAGACCCTGTTGCTGGCACCAATCATTGTACCAATGGTAGACCTTGTTGCTGGCACCAATCATTGTTACCTGTGGTAGACCCTGTTGCTGGCACCAATCATTGTTACCTGTGGTAGACCCTGTTGCTGGCACCAATCATTGTTACCTGCAACAAGGTCTACCACAGGTAACAATGATTGGTGCCAGCAACAGGGTCTACCACAGGTAACAACAAGAAAGAAAGCTCTCACCACCACCACCACATAATTAAGCCAATAGTCTGAAATGCTTGCAGAAAACCTTCAGATGTCTTGTTGAGTTGACAGTATGCTACTGGAATAAATTACTGTTTCAATTGGTAGGCTGAACAAATATTTCACTCATTCATCAACTTATAGGTTTATATTCAATGCAAGTTATACAAAAAAGGCATCTTGTAAGAAATCCCTTAAAGCAGTAAAGTTAGCTATCTTGCATAAAAGTAACAAAATGAAGCTCTGGAAAGTTGCAAACTGTATGTAAGAATGTATCATTAAATACTAATAAGTAAAGCCATTTTAATATCAAATCCCATTCAATTTATAAAAACTATAATTTCACCTTTGAAACACAAATCATAATATTTTTTTAAATATGTTAAACAATTATTTGACTTAATCAAAAAAAAAAATTCCTGACAGAGAGAGAGAGTCAAGACATCACAACTCCATTATGGCCTAGCCAATCACCAGACATGATCTCCACCCAGAACTAGTGGGTTATCCTTAACCAATCCCTGCAAAAGCACCCCATCAGTAAAATCAGTTCCTAGGGCTCCCTAATACAGATTATGTATCAGGAATAGACTGCCACAAACCAATACTGCCGATTTTGTCCACACAATATCTAAATGCACTGCTCCCTTGCATGTGGTAAGGAGCAGTACCACAAAGTATTAACTCCATTCATATTTTGCTAGAGCTATACAAGGTTTCTAAATAAGCAGGTGTTATTTTAAACTTGGATGTATATTTAATTGTGTTATATCTCTAAACACTCAAGCATTAGCCCCATGTTGTATTTCAGTTAATAACTCTAGCAAAATTTTATAATGATTATCAAAAAATAATTACTTCTGCAAAGAAATATTTACTTTCAAGTAGACTTACAAACTTTTCAACATATAGTGTTGCATGTTAATTTTATCTTTGTTCTTGACTCATTAGTAGCACATTCACTTTAGTTAAGCGATCCACTACAAATAATAATTACAATACATGTACTAAATTTCCACATTCTATATAAACGCTAACATTGTAAATAATTATTGTAAAAACCGAAAGGTTACTTACTGATCGGAACTGAAAACATCTGGACTTAGGCGGAGGCTCCAAGAATTGACTCCTATCCTCCTTGTACAGTATGTCGCTGCAAAGAAGAAAAGTCATTATGAAAACTTCAACTAATCTAAATCACTCCTCACTTAAACTCTTAAAATAATCAAAAACAGAAAACATTAAAACAATTAGGCATAGTTTTCAAAAGTTCATAATTTTCTTTTATCTAATAAGTAAATATTTGATGATTTTTCAAAAAGATGAAACCTTCTGTTTCGGCCGACATAAAGCTGATGCATGCATGCTTGGAGGGTTATTATTTACATAATTCACTTTCTGGGATGCTGGGTAGTAAAACTTATGAACACCGAGAGGCCACTACTGAAGAGGGAGGATGTTGAAAAGTTAAGCTCATAGATTTCTGAAAGTTATTTAATATTATTGTTATTATAATTTGTAGTAATTTGGGTTAAATAACACAATAATAACTAGATATAATAAGATTGGTAAATAAAAGTATGACAGTCAAAGTTTTAAGTTAGAGTTTAGGGGTGTAAATTATTATTACAATGTTTTAATTTAAAATAGACTTAGTACGTTTAACGGTACTTTGGGCTTAGGTATATTTATACTTACTGGTAAATTGTAAAACAGGATAAATACATTGTTTTATTAAATAAATACAATCCAAAAATTAGTTGATTGTCTTTTGGTGTTCTAGAATTAACGTGTTTATTTGAACTGAGATTCATGAATTTAAATTCAGCTTATAAATATAGGTAGGTTATAATATAAATCAGGCTAAAGTAAATATGTTTTATTATTAACATTACGTATAATATTCTAATAAATGATTAAGTTCTATATAATTAAAGATAAACTTTATTACTTTAGTATGAAAACAAAGTAGTGATAAAAAAAAATTATATAACTGATTCTTAAACATTAGGCTTAACAGTAACAGTGTTAACAATAGGCTACTGGTATTGAGTATTTATTTTCAGACTATAACAGTACAAATATAAATACAATGGTTAAGACTAGTGTAGGAGTTAAGTGTTCACAGTTTGTCAGGTGTAATGAGTGCAATGAATGGGTTTTATTTGGGAACTCAGGACTGGAATGTACTTTTAAGGAAGCTAGTAATGAAGATGTAAAATTTTTATGTAGAGTTTGTAGGTTGGAACTTGGAGGAAAAGTTAGAGGCAATCATGATTAAAGTAGAGGCAACAGATAAACAGAAGTGTAGATTGTAGGAAATGGCAGCAGGATTTCAGGAGGAGCTTAAGTTTTTACATTCAAGGGATACATCAACTAACAATGACTTTAACTTAAGGAAGTTGGAAAGAGTACTGTTAGGGCTAAAAGTAGTGAATTTAGTTATAATGAGGCTATTATGTTGAGCAACAAATTTCAGCCCTTGGCTTCTGCAGATGAAGAACTGTTGGAGGGAAGGAAAACAAAAGGGTCAGACAAGGATGTGGACGATAAGGAAGTTATAGTTATAGGTGATTCTTTGACAAGGCATGTGGATAGAATAGTCTGTGGGGGAAATGGGGAGAAAATAATCAGATTATGCTATCCAGGTTCACAGGTGGAGGATATAACTAACAGAGCAGGAGACATAATAAAGGGGGCTAGTAGAGACGCAGTTTTTGTGGTGCATGTAGGGCTAATGATGTAGGGAAAGGAGGGTCAGAGGAGCTAATTAAGAAGTACAAGGGGTTGATAAAGACATTTAAAGAAAGAGGCCATAACTTAATTTTGTCAGGGATACTGCCCAGAATTAACTGTGGGATGAAGTTATAAGTACGTAATTAGGGCTAAATGCTAGGCTTAGGTTAGTATGTAAGGATAAGCAGATTGGCTGATTGAACTTCTGGGATCAGTTCAATGGAAGAAAGGATCTTTTTGCAGTGTATGGTTTACATTTAACTAGGATAGGGGCTGGCTTGTTCGCTAAGGCTATTAACTCAGCTGTAAGGAAAGTTTTAATCTAGGACTAGACAGTGGTGAGTACCAGGAAAAACTAAATGCAAAAATAATAAGAGACAGAGAAAAGTTTAGTACAGCAAAAGAGTATAAAAGTAGTTATGAGGATAGGCTTAATTGTTGGGTTATTAAATTCTGAATTTCTTCAGTTTTTACTGATGACAATTTAAACAGTATTCCACATCTTGAACAGTTGATAAATGAAAACAAGATTAAACAAGATGAGAAAGCAGGTGGCGTGACAATAGTCACATGATCTCGCTGACGCAACAGATCTATAATTACTGGGACAATTTTTATAACCTCCCTTAAAAAGAGGAGTTACATTAGCTAACTTCCAATCCTTTGGTACCAGCCCACTATTCAAGGACTGACAAAAAATAGTAGTAAGTGGCTTACATATCCAATCTTTAACCTCCTTCAAAACCCTTGGGGAAATATTATCTGGTCTAGGAGCCTTATCATTTTTTAAACTTCCCAATTTTTTTCTTAATCAGCTCAGAATTAATGCAGTAGAACTATCCCGTTCCTTCGGGAGTGCTCTAGCATTTACTAGATTGGGGGGTGGTCTGGCATATATAAGATGGTCACGGTGTGAGAGTGAATGTGTGTGTAGACAGTGAGTAATTGATCTGCAGTCAGAGAGCATTATTGAAGTTGAGCACGTTCGTTGTTATAGCATTTGTTTTAGCGCAATTGTTGAAATTAAGTGTATCATAAAGTTATATTCGGAAAGAATAAACCAGTTTTATTAAGTAAGGACTTGTGTCGCTAAAGTTTTGTCGGAACGAAGTTACGGAAAATCAATTAACAAATGGAGACGCAACAGACCCATTAGTCTTACATCAGTTGTGAGAAAAGTTTAGGAAAGTCTGTTAAAAATTACTTTGCGAAGTCATTTAACAAAGTTTAGAATTTTATTGGATAGTC